TCATCATTAATGATCAAAGTGTCTGTTTTTTAGCCAGTCTGTAAGCCCGGATCAGCTCACAGCGGCCGCACACATAAGAGCGCACTCGTGGGATGAAACAGCCCCACACACGAGCCGGTGTCCTTAAATAAAGGTTTTTAACTCACCGTCGCTCTAAGACATGACGAGTCGATCACAGAACAGCCTCCACATGAGCCGGTGTCCTTAAATAAAGGGTTTTAACTCACCGTCGCTCTAGACATGATGAGTCGATAACAGAACAGCCTCCACATGAGCCGGTGTCCTTAAATAAAGGTTTTTTAAACTCACCGTCGCTCTAGACATGACGGGTCGATCACGGCACAACGGTAAGCGAAAATAACTACCAACTAGAACTGCATGATCCTCACTCAAGCGGTGTCAACTCGCATTTGTGGGATGGAACAGCCTCGACATGAGCCGGTGTCCTTAAATAAGGTTTTTAATTCACCGCCGCTCTTGACATGACGAGTCGAACACTAAGATGACAGCCTCCATTCAACGGTGCTGCGTTGATGCTGGCGCACACAGCTGCCGGCGCTAACCAGCTCACATCGGTATAAATGTGGTCCGCAGGCTGGTCCGGGTGGGGGTCCTTCTCTCTCAGCTTTCGGCAGCTCACCGCAGCTTAAACGTGAAGCAGCCGAAGAATCCGGTAATGAGTCCCACCTCCCTCTAGCGCGCGCCCCTCCAGCGAGAGCGGCGCGCGTCCCTCCAGAGAACAACGTGTGCTCCCGCGGGGCTAAGCAGCCTTCACTCCAACAGCACGGTGTAAATGAAGTCACGCCCTCCGCCTTTCAACGTTCGCACAGCGACGTCAAACGCGCAGCTCACCGCGTCATCAGCTGTCACACGCTTCGCCTTCAGCTCAAGTCTCGCCCGGGGTCACACAGAAAACATTCCCGCGACGCATGACGGCGGTTGAGGGACGGACTGCTGACAGCCGTACAAAACATGACGCATCATTAACGCACGTTCATCCACGAACGTTACGTAGAGTGGCTAAACATGCTCGCCGTTTTTCAGATGGATGGACAGGGTTTATGCAAATGGTACAAGTTACAGTTTGCAACCCGAACCCCTTCATTCAGAGGAGTTATATAAACGGTCCCGTCATCATCATCAGACTGATTCTCTTCCCTAAATGCAGAAATCCAAGCGTTTTCTGATAAAAGTAATCTACAGAGTTCCCCAAGGGAGAGAAAACACGAGGGTTTTTACTCACGGATCGGAGGGGTGAGACCGTTTTTGGATCTGTTGTTTAACATCCAGAGAACGCATACCGATCATCCTAAAACACAGAGACGAGAGTTTTTTGTTTTACCTGGATGATCTGCGGATCCTGTCACTTCAGACAGGAGGCGCTGATGCAGGATCAGGTGTTGACATCACACCTGTTAATCTGGGCTTCGCCATAAGTGGAAGGAAGCTCGATTTTCCCGGCCCAGACATTTGTTTTCTGGAGTGGAATTAAATTCAACCACCATGAAAACTCATTTATCACATGAGACGCCTCTAGAGGTGTTTTTGCACGTCTGCATGTGGATCCAGTAAAACAAACGACGGATGATCATTGTCTTTTCCCTCTGTGGAAGCAGACCTCCGACTCTGGGGAAACACCTTGTTTTTCTATCAGAGGGAGTCCCCCTCAGCAGACCCACGTCATGGGTCAGTCTTCACGGACACGTTGCTGTCAGGCTGGGGGGGGGACATACCTATCTCAAGCAGTAGGGGCGCTGTGGCCCCACTACACATCAGCACACATCAATGTTTTGGAGTGTCGCACAGCACTGAATGTGATTCAACACCTTGCTCCTGTGCTACAGAATCAACACGTGTTGATTCACACAGACATCATGATGACTGCTGCGTACATAACCATCAGGGTGTGCGTTCAGCCAGATGTTACACATTGTGCGAAAGCTACTGAGTTGGGTTCATCAAAGCCTGCTTTTATTAGAGCGGTTTACATATCCGGTGTTCTGATGTGACGTCCAAGGGCGGCCCACGTTACGTGGACCGGATCCTCCATCCGGATCTGATGTTTTCAGACGCAGCAGAAGTTGGCAAAGCAGCTGTGGACCTGTTTGCGATGCGAGAAGAACGCTCAATGTCAACTACGGTTTTCCCTGAGCTCGCGAGACGATCCATCGCTGGGGGGGGACGCATTTGCTCACAGTCGGTGGCCCAAAACGCTTTTTACGCGTTTCTTTCCCCCCCACCTCCTCTGTTTTTTTACGGTCCATGAACCGAGTTCAAGAGGAGGGATTGACAGCTCGCCGTAGAACTGTCATGGAGGAAGGATGCTCTCCTTCAGGCAGGAGGAGCGACCAAGAGTTACCCAGAAATAGGTCAACACCGGTGGGTCTGACCGCTGAGCGGTTCCACTTAGAGGATGGGTCTCCCTCAGGAGATAGTGTGCACAATTCAAGATTCACGTGCTGCATCTACCACAGTTCTGTACACATCAAAGGGACGGCTTTTCAGCGCTGGTGCACAGAGAAGGTTTAGAGACCACCTCATGCCTTTTAAGCGGCGTGTTGTTTTTTCTACAACAGCTGATGGATAGGGAGTTGGTTTTCAGTACGCTTTAACGTACGATTGCAGCCATCTCTTCCTGCCACAAAGGGTTTGGAGACAGAACAGCTTTTATCACCCGCTGATGAAGCGGTTTCTAAAAGGTGTACAGAGATGTAGGCCTGTTCTCACGCCCACTTGTTTCCACAGTGGGTTTAACGCTGGTCCTGCGAGCCCTGATCAAAGCTTCAATTGAGCCTCTGGATCAGGTTTCATTTAAATTCTTGTCTCTTTTAACAGCCCTGTTGCTGGTTTTAACACCCGCTAAGAGGATAAGTAATTATCTGCCCTCTCTGTTGCTTCGTCATGCCTTAGAATTAGGCTAACGGGCAGCTCAGCTGATTTAAGACCAACCCAGCTTTTATGCCTAAAACATTACGAGCTCTTTTAAATCAAGAGTGATGTCGTTGGAGGGGTTTTTTCCCTCCCACAGATCAGAAGGGGAAGCATCTGTTCATCTTCTCTGCCCGGTGCAGGCGTTGACGTGTTACGTAACGCGCACAGCTGCAATGCGTTCAAATTCAACAATTGTTTGTGCATTATAGAGATGCTTCTGCAGGTCGCCGTTATCCATCCAGCGCTTGTCACACTGGCTGTGTGAGGCCTTTTCTGAAGCCTACAGAGCATCAGTTTTAGGGCCTCCTGTCAACCTCTAAGCACACTCCACCAGGGGTATTGCATCTTCGATTGTTCTGCATAATGGTATGTCAATGCAGGACATTTGCACTGCGGCGGCATGGTCAACACCCTGCTCATTTATTCGCTTTTACCTACGTGATGTAACGGTTCGTTCCATGACACATTCTGTCCTTAGTGCTCTAACAGAATGAATATTGTTGTTCTCATGGAACTCTGTTTAAGCTCACTTCTGTCTGCACGCATTACAGTGTGAGATGTTGTTATCAGTCACAGTCGTGTCTGTGTTCTGGTTCTATTATCACTAATCAGTTCATGATTATTGTTACCAATCAGTTCATTTGATTATTTATCAATTCATGGACATTAATCTGTTTATACTGTTCAGCCATGATCCAGTTGGTTCATGCCCCCCCCCCCCCCTCTTTTCAACTTCTTCTTCCCGTTGAAAGTGTAGTGGACTAAGCCTACGTCGAAACCCAGTCTAAGGTCAAAACTCTTGACCTTTAGAACCTTGTGGGACAGAAGCTGTCATTTCCTGTTCATCTACAAAAGTTTTCCGGGGTATTCATGCTTTGTCAGAACGCATAGCTACACAACATGCGTCTGTGCATGGCACATAATTACGCGATGCGTAGTTATGCACATGGGGAGCTGAGTGACAAGACGTTTTTTGGGCAAGCTTCCGCTTCTTACTGTGTTCGAATGGACCCAGTGAGGCGAGGACCACATCGGCTTCGCCCTTTACCCACTAAAGCGAAGGCCTTAAAGGGCGAAGCTTATATGACGTAGAACGTTGGTTACGTACTGTAACCCCAGATTCTATGAATATAAGCGTAGCCCTTTAAGCGTCGGGCCTCACTGGCTCCTAAATGGCTGAAGAAAAAGCTATTTTGGGAGCCGATTTCCCGCTCTTAACGTAATTTATACGGACCGGGTGGGGCCCACACAGCAGGTGGGCGTGGACTAATTTTTTTCAGTGCTTATGCTCTGCATAACGGGATAAACCCACTAAAGCGAAGGCCTTAAAGGGCTACGCTTATATTCATAGAATCTGGGGTTACAGTACGTAACCAACGTTTTAAGTGCTATATAAATAAATTGGTATGGTATGGTATGGTATCTTCTTCTTCACTCTTTTGACAGTGCTTGCTAGCTGAAGAAAAAATGGGAGCCGATTGTCCAGTCTCACCTTAATTTATATGGACCGGGGGTGGGGCCCACACAGCTGGTGGGCGCGGACTAAAGTTTTCAGTGCTGCGCGAGGGGATAAACCCACTTGCAATAGCCTTAAAGGGCGAAGTCTAAACAAAATAGAACAACGTTGACACACAGCTTTGGATTTGTCCACTTGTCTTTTAACAAGAAAGCCATAATGTTCCCAAACAGGAGACCGCAACGAGATGGCTTGTTCGTAGGCTGCTAATGCTGCGCGTGCTGCAAGATAATAGTTCCATGCTGAAACACGCTTAGGAACTTTAGTTCCGTGGCGCATAATCTCTCATTAATAAAATTTAATGAGTGAAAAAATAACAGAAACGGTACACACGTGGACCGAACATGCTGTACCGAAACGTTTCAGTACACCCACATGTACCGTTACACCCCTACATGATGGTCATGGCCATGTTAAAATCTCACTTGTTTCCTGCACACTCACAAATAAAGCCATCCACACAACTGATGACGCACACAGTGCTGCTGCTGTATGACAGAATGTGGGCTGTAGTGGTGTCAGAGTGACGTGAAGTCCATTCCTCTCACTATAGGATCATGACTATGCCTTGCCAGCCTCTCTTACGGGTCTCACGGCTAAACTTAAGGAAGCCTTGGCAAGAGTGGAACATCTGGAGCGGGAGAAGACAAACACCATGGCCAGAGAAGAGAGGGCAAAGACCACAGTTAAGTCTCTTTTGGGGGATTTGAGTGAAAAACAACTCATTACTGAGGAGCTCAAAGAAAAGCTAAGATTATACTCTGGTAAGACGAAATCAGCACTTTAATATTCATATACATCTTATTCTTACACACATTTTTTAATCTACTCTGCCATTATCCGAAGGAGAGGGTGTTAATTTTTTGCTCTTAAAATTTCAGATGTCCAGCTCATAGAGTTCATGGAGAAGCAGGGCCATGGGTACACAAAGGAGCACAGAGAGTTTGCCTTCACACTCCATCTGCACGGTCCAAAGGCGTACAAATACCTCAGGGAGACTCGAAAATTTCCCCTCCCACATCCACATACATTACAAAAGTAGCCTTAATGTTTTATTTATTTATTTTCTTGTAAATTACTGTTGCAGATGTGTTAAATAGCTACTTCTCCCCCTATTTTTTACAGGTGGCAGTGTTCAGTGGATGCTGGTGATTCCTGAACTGCTCCAAGTTCAGCGGTATGTCCTCACATACAGGTTCAGCCAAGATGACTTGGAGCTCCTGTTTAATTCAATCAGAGCGTCAGGTAGTGTTGATGTTCTTTCAGTTGCAATAAATTCATAAAATGTACTTGTATGTAATGTCCTGTGAGTAATACATGTACTGTATTGTGTCCCTGTTGTCCATTCAAGGTGGCTGGAATAACAATCCATCTGCAAGACAGTTCCAGGCCATCTTTCGCCGGCTGATGGTTCGTTGTGGGGTTAATGCAGTCCTTCTCAAATAGTGGGGCACGCCCCCCTGTTGGGGGGGCGGAGCAATGCCAGGGGGGCGCATGTGACCCCAGAGAACATTTTCGGCAGAGAGTAGGTTTTTTGTTTTTCGTTTTTTTTGCACCATTTCCATTTCAGGGTACGTTCGGCAACTGTTTGCTATAATCCGGCAACTGTCAGTCTGACTAATAAAGTTATGAACAAATGTCTGTCTTGTCTTGAGGAGCCATGATTGAACCGTGTCACTTCCCTCTGCTGCTGAGAAATAAATAACTTGACACCTCCTCAGCTGGTGACGCTCTGGACACTTGTCACCCACAGCACGCGTGCGACAACAGTATAAAGTCAAAGCGAGAGCGTTACCTGCCCATCGTCCTCTTCACTTTAACATCTTTTTTTTTTTAAAGTTTTTTAGTTTGTCAAAGCACAACTTTTGTGTCTGTGTTTTTTTAATACAGAAGTAATGTTTAACAAATGTTAGGACTCTGTTCTTTGCTAACAAAATATATATTTTATGTCATTAAAAAATTTGTCTATTTCTCTTGTGAGCGTGTCCCCCCCCCCCCCCCACACACACACACAGCCAGCTCGCTTGCTTCTTGCGCTCTTTGCAGCTTCTCTGCTGTTGCTGCGCTGAAGACCAAGTCCAGGTCCAGCTAAACCTTGAGCAGGAGCTGAGCTGCAGGATCATGTTTCAAGCCGCGCTGTGAAAAGCTGTGCACTGCAAAACGTGCTCAATCGGCACAAAATGTTTTATTCATTTTTATTAGGTCAAAGTGTTAAAATACAACACTCCTGAGTTAAAATGTTGCTGATCAATTTGAATTTATTATTGTTTATTGATCGTATTTAATTTGTTCAGTATCAAATGGTCAAAAATGTTTACAGTTTAAATAAGGATATATTTTTAATTTCAGGCAAATTGATGCACTTTAAGCCTTTTCTGTAACAGACTATAAAACTTAATAATCTTTCTTGCAAGTTGATTTATATTTCTTTCTTTTGGGGGCGGCTGTGGCTGAGTGGTTAGAGCAGTCGTCCTCCAATGCAAGAGTTGGGGGTTCGATTCCACCAGCAGTCACATACTGAAGTGTCCCTGGGCAAAACACTGAACCCCTCATTGCCTCCGATGTGTGTCCATCAGTGTATGGATGTGATAAAGCTCTGATTAGTCTTTGTATAGATCTACTAGAGTGCTGGGTAAATGACGCACAGATTGTGTTGTAAAGAGCTTTGAGTGTGTTGATCCGATAGAAAAGCTCTAGATAAGTGCAGCCCATTCACCATATTTAATGTTGATAAGAACAATGTAATGCAGAGGTGTACTTATAACAATTTCAGAATCAGTTTATTATCGCCATGTCAATGAACGAGGTTCACAAACTAGGAATTTGCTTCGACATAAGGTGCGAATAGTAGTAAAGTAAAATAAAGTAAAAATTGAGTAAAAATGAGAACATTACATAAGACATAAGCCTGTGTACACCCACAAATAAAGTAAAATTAAAACCATAACAACCATATGTACACCCATACAATAGAAAACAATAAAAAAGCTTAGAGAACAGTACAGATGGAGTATTCAGTTATAGTACAGATGTAATGTGACCAAAGCAGAACTTATGAGGTAGCATTATGAGTGTTCAGGAGTCCAACAGCAGAGGGGAAGAAACTGTTCTTATGGCGGGAGGTTCTGGTCCGAATGGACCGAAGCCTCCTGCCTGAGGGGAGTGGTTCGAACAGTCCGTGTGCAGGGTGAGCAGGGTCAGCTGTGATCCGACCTGCTCGCCTCACAGTCCTGGAGACATACAGGTCGTGGAGGGATGGAAGGCTGCAGCCGATCACCTTCTCAGCTGAGCGCACAACGCGCTGCAGTCTGAGTCTGTCCCTGGCAGTGGCCCCGGCGTACCACACCGTGATGGAGGAGCTGAGGATGGACTCGATGATGGCTGTGTAGAACTGCACCATCAGCTTGGCCGGCAGCTTGGCCTTCTTCAGCTGTCGCAGGAAGTACAGTCTCTGCTGGGCCTTCTTGATGAGGGAGCTGATGGTCGGCTCCCACTTGAGGTCCTGGGTGATGGTGGTGCCGAGGAACCGATAAGAATTTGCAGTGGTGATGGGGGTATCCTTACAGGTGAGGGGGGGCAGAGGGGCTGTGGCTTTCCTGAAATCCACAATCATCTCCACTGTCTTCTGGGCATTGAGTTCCAGGTTGTTGCTGCTGCACCAGGTCACCAGCCGGTCCACTTCCCTCCTGTATGCAGACTCATCACCGTCCGAGATGAGCCCGATGAGGGTGGTGTCATCTGCAAACTTAATAAGTTTCACAGAGTCATGGCTGGAGGTGCAGCAGTTGGTGTACAGGAAGAAAAGCAGGGGGGAAAGCACACAGCCCTGTGGAGATCCTGTGCTTATAGTCCGAGTGTCCGAGACAGCTCTCCCCAGCCGCACGCACCGACTCCGGTCTGTCAGGAAGTCTGTGATCCACCTGCAGGTGGAGTCAGGTACATGGAGCAGGGAGAGCTTGTCTTGGAGCAGAGCAGGGAGGATGGTGTTAAATGCGGAGCTGAAGTCCACGAACAGGATCCTGGCGTAGGTTCCTGGGGAGTCCAGGTGCTGCAGGATGAAGTGAAGAGCCAGGTTTATTGCGTCATCTACAGACATGTTGGCCCTGTAGGCAAACTGCAGGGGGTCCAGGAGGGGGTTGGTGATGGACTTGAGGTGAGATGAAACCAAGCGTTCAAAGGTTTTCATGACTACAGACGTGAGAGCTACAGGTCTGTATTCTTTTGGTCCTGTGACACGTGGCTTCTTGGGGACAGGGACGATGACGGAGGACTTGAAACAGGCTGGGACGTGGCATGACTCCAGTGAAGAGTTGAAGATCCCTGTGAAGACCGGAGCCAACTCTCCAGCACAATGTCTCAGCGTGGAGGGTGGCACAAGGTCTGGGCCTGCAGCCTTATGTGTATTCAGTCTTTTAAAAAGCCTCCTTACTTCATCCTCTTGTACAGAGATAGCAGGGGGTTGTCGGGGGCAGTCCCAAGTGGTTAAACCAGTTGAGCTGGGGTTGGTGTGGAGGATGGAGGAATGTGAGTCCATGACTTCAAAGCGTGAATAGAAGTCGTTCAGATCGTTTGCCAGTTTGAGATTGTCTGTAGAATGAGGTGCTCTGGGCTTGTAGTTAGTTATCTCTTTCAGCCCCCTCCAGACTGAATACTGAATACAGACTGAATTTTATAGACAAATGATAGTATTTACAGTCGCGGTGGAGAGTTAGGGTGGAACAAAATGTTTACTTCTTCCCAGGGGGTGGGCGTAACAGAAAATAATTGAGAAGCAGTGTGGCAGCCCAAGATGACACCATGTCCCTGCCTGCTGTGGAGATGTCCTCTGCTGAAGAGCACCCATCTCCATTCGTCAGCATTTCGGCTGTTGTGTGTGACCACAGCTATTGTCCCACTAAATTTGGTGGCCTGGTGGAAAATGATCTACATAGCAGGATTTGTAGTTCGGCAGAGTCTTTGAAAACTGTCGTGCGAGCTTGGTCCAAGATGCTGTACCATCATCATTTGAGGAGAGCTCCCACCTTCTAACTGAAGAACAAGAGCAGCTCAGTGATTCCCTCAAGGCCCAGTGAAGGTGCTGAGAGCTGCAGAGAGGCTGATCCATGGAGCTTCAACACAGCAACCTCCAAACACACATCGTCCATGAAGACACTGGACCAGAGGATGTTTTCCTGCTTGGGGAACACGGAGAAGACACAATTTGGCGTTGATAATCATCATTCCGACTTGTCGTGTGTCTGTGTTTCTGAAGAGAAGGACGCACCACATTGCCAAAGTCACATCTTCACCTGCAGCAAGGCAACACAAGAAAAAGCTCTGCAAAACTGTCCTGTTTCAGCAGTTTTAGCTTATGAATATGGTTGTATCACAATAGATATGTGTGTGGAGAGAGATTTGTGTATATAGTTTGTACATCAGAGTCAGTTTCTTTATTGTCATTCACACCACATGTGGTTCATGTGGTGGAACAAGATAATGTACACAGGGTCCCAGTTACATCCAACAATAAAATGTATAAGAACAACAGTAAGAAGATCTAAGATATGAACTAAGAACAACACCAGATACAAATATGCTAAGCACTAATAAAACATCTACTAAAAATGTTTTGTTGGTGTGTAGCGTACATGTGCACAGGTGCTGGTCATAAAATTAGAACAACATGAAACGGTTGATTTATTTCAGTTATTCCATTTAAAAAGTGAAACTTGTATATTCATTCATTACACACAGACTAATGTATTTCAAATGTTTATTTAGTTTAATCTGTGGAGGTGTGTAACTAAGTACAAGTACAAAGTTGACCTGACTGAGCATTATTGGATTTGGTACCTGGGTGATTGAGCATGAACCACTTTGGCTGTGGCCGCCTGCCTGGGAGGAGTCGACAGACTGGACCGCCCCCAGAAACCATCTCATCATCAGCAAACAGTTTTTTTCCACTATGGAGTATGCCGTTTGTGGGAATCAGTTTTGTTTGGTGGTTTCTCAGATTGAAGAAGTTCTTCGGATGAAGGGCGAAACACCTCAGCTTTAAAAAGA